TTACCTTTTGAGTCTGACTTGTAGGAATATTCTAGTACGAAAATTGATGTATTTTCCAACTTTATTAGAATTACATATTTGTCTATGTAAACTCATATTAACATACTTTAATACATGTCTTTTGCTTAAATTTTATCATAACTCTAAAAAAAACTTTTTTTGTGTGAGTTTTTTAGAGTCTTTTTATTTTTGTATTTTTGAGAACACACAGCTATACATAGAGTGTTTTAGGTTTCTTCATTGTTCGATCGGGATTGGCGTGATTGAAGATTTCTTATCTACTAATCGTAAAGCAGAATTTCTTGTAAACTTCAGAAAATCTGTTTTGAAGAATATGAGAAAAATATCACACTTTGAAGGGATCGAGACACTTGTGGAGTGTTGGTTGATCTACCAACAACTTTTCTACAAAGATCAATGGTAAGTCAAATGTCGAGAACTGTTGGACGGGGGAGTCGCAGAGTCGAGGATCGTCAACGATTGGTTTTTGATAGAGCGATACGGTGTGTGCTTTAGTCAAAATCAATTGTACTTTGCTTCATACATAGTTAATCGATCTTTTTGCTCTGGACATAATTCACAAGATTTTTCCCAGAGTGATTAATTTCTTCTGTCAATCGGGGTTTTCTCGCTAAAAACTTGGCATCACTTTAAACAATTTACTTTATGTTGTGAGTGAATAATTTAAATTTAGTTGAAGAAGTCGAAGTTAAACAAAAATAGAGCAAACGAGCGCTTAGATAAATTTAAATTAAACAAAAATCGAGCAAACAAGCGCTTAGACTTGTTCAACCTCTTCTTGATTGTTTATCCATACTTATATTTCGCAACCATGAGGTTATTATGCAACTCATACAGAGCACTTAATCCAATCAAAATTTGGAACTCCTTAAATGCAAGAAGCAAAATATCAGCCCTTTTTAGGAATATAGGTAACACAATTCATGCAATAACTGTAAAGCAAAATAACATATAGCTCATAACTCACAAGAGACTTGGGAGTCATAAAGGTGCAAATTTTTGACATTGACAATATAGTTCTACAAACTCATATGTACACACACACATATATATATATAGATGCATATATTAATAAGACAAAGTATAAGCTTCCACAATTCACCACCATAGGTCCATACCCATGTCACCGTAGGTACTACTTTTGCCAACAAAGGAGGGTTTGATATTCGTTTAGAAAGAAGTGAATGGAAATCTGATTAGAATATGATTACAAGCACTTCCACTTGAAATACGTCAACTAAAGTTCTCACCATCAACCTTAAGTGGAGTAAAAGTTGACCAAAAAATCCTTTCATTATACACACACACATATATACATATATGCATAATTAACAACACTCCTATGGAGCTCTCCAACTTATCATTTTAGGTCACATGGCTATGGTTTTCCCCCACTAAATGGGCCTCACACCTCACACGCAAAAGAGTAGTGGGCATTTAAGTAGAAGGTGATTTGCTAATTCCCTTTCATTATATTTAATTTCCCTAAAGTTATTTTCTTCAGGGAATCCTAAAAGATAGCTCCTTTTGATTAAGGATAAGAGTTATCCATCTTCTTCACTTTAATTTGTTGTTAATTTTTTTTTTTTTTTTTTTTCTGGTAAATTTAAGAATGTGATGATATTTTGGACCGCTTTGAATATTCATTTTGTGTCACATAGGATTATTTAAAAAGTTTGATTGATTTGATTAATTTTGCGTCACATATTTGGAAGTTTGAATGCATAGATAGATAGATAATCACTAAAAATATGGTGGACCCCTCTCTCCCTCTGTCCGATCCAGCACTTCTCAGCAGCATGACCCACCGTGTACACGCAGACGTGTTGCCGTGAACGACTATCCCATGTCTGATGTCTCGGAATAACTGCAGCAGTTTATCCGGGTCCCAGTGTTTGTGATCAACAAGTACTGTTTTGGTGGCCCCATTGGTTCGGATATCATGCGACCGACGTGTCATTATCTCAAAAGGTTGCCATTCGTTTCTGGATGCCATGCTTGAATCTCAAGCGGGAGTCTATGCATCACAGGCAATCATATATCGAAACGTGGTGCATTAGCACTTAGTACTGTGGGGCTGTCCATATACAACTTATACTCCTGCTACTTTTCCAATCTCGATTATCGATGATTGGGCCCCACTCACTTTTGTAGAGTGTGAGAGGCACGTTCCATTTGAGGGTTAAATTATTATTATAAATATTTTTTTTTTTTTTTTTTTTTTTTTTTTTTTTTGGGTGTGGTTTGTCAATTTCAATTGTCCCATCTGGGACGAGATTGAGATCAATTTAATAGAGTTAGTGGTAAATTTTAAATGTTTTTATTATTATGATAGTTAAATAGTTGATTATATTTAAAAATAAATTTATATATATATATTATTTTAAATTTATTCAAATTTAAGTTATTTTTCTTTAAAAATATATATATATATCAGAACGTTTCAAACCCGTCACAATTTCAATGAGATGCGAAAAAAAATGAATTTGAAAAGAGAAAAACATATAGTATAACTTGTGATAAATTAAGTGTTAATTTGTGTTATGTCGATGTAAGAGTATTCTACTAAGTAGATAAATTCTAACTCGACCCATTTAATAATCGTGTTAAGAACTCTCAATGCTAATCCGACCTGTTTATTAAACGAGTTAACGTATTAATCCGTTTAATGACATATTTATCAAAACGAGATATTTAATATTTAATCAAATAATAAATACTACAAAATTTTTGTTACATTTTAACCAAATATTTAAAATAAGAAGAAAAATCCTAAGACATGGTAAAAATTTATGTTAAAATGACTTAATTGTTCATACAAATTGAATTTTAACTGGTTAAATATTATTACATAGGTCATATTCACTATTATAATATATTGAGTTAAACGAGTTTAATTCATCAACCCTGACCCTACACGGTTAAGTAAACGGGTTAATCGTGTTAATTCATTTATGACTTAAATTCATTTAAAATCAATTCAAACTCACTTATTTCGTATCGTGTTCAAATCATGTTAACGAATCTTATCATTATTTGCCACACCTATTATAAACCACAGATTTTGTGATTGGGGGTTAACCCTTTCAGTTAGGGCTGAAAAAAATAACTACTATTATTGTTATATTTGTTGGCCCGTGCTTATCACGTTTGACAATTGTTATTTGCCAATCTCCTTAGCTGATTAGAAAATTTCCATCTAAAAAAACATTGAGCTGTAAAAGCAAAACTATAAATTAACAATTGATGTAAGCAACTCATTAGTTTTTCTTATTTTCAGAATTAACTCCTTTTTATATCATATATGCATGCGTCTACTTGCTGAAAGGACAAATTTGGACCCGGTAAACATCACATGCACGGCAAGAGAAGGGGCAATTGTGTCCTTCCACTACCTCTTTAACAGAATTGCCATTTTCTTAAAACTTGGGCATCAAATGACGCAAAAAAGAAATGGAATTGTTTGATGGAGACTATAAATAATTTCTCATAAAAAGAAAAAATGTGTTATGTCATTAGCATTGAAAGCTAATGTAATGTGTTATGTGTTTATAGATTTCCCTGCCAATTTGTCTCACTATTCCCATTTGACAATAACACCCCTGCAAAATCGCCTTGCTGATCACGTAATTCTATCATTCTATGGGCATACTGTGGAATAGAAAGAACAGTATTCCTCACGAACCTCAACATTTTCAGCACAGCACTCCTATCATTGAACTAGGTTGATTAAGAAATTTAGTGGGCCACCACTAAAGACCTACGTTTGGTCAAACATACACCACCAAGAGTAATCTAAGCCGTTGGATCACTGAGCTATACGGAGTTATCATTTTTGAGATCAGGATGTAGATTTGACACTGATATAAAATTTATGATAGTCATTGCTGCCCAAATACAATGGTGTTGGGCAGGCCACGGTGTATAACAATCTGGTCAAACTAAAAATTCAAATAAGACGAAATCGGATTGGATGGTTTAGTTTAATTGGTCGTAATTTTAAATTTGTGAAATCATAAAAATATGATTTAGTCACGATTTAAAAATTTTTAGGACCGAATTAGACCTAACAGAGCCGTTATATATACATATATATATATATATATATAATATATTATAATATAATTTTACAATTCAAATCATTCACAGAATAAAAGTTTGTAGCAACTATCAATTATATAGTCCACTCTTAATTATCTTAGGTATTATCAATTTATTATATATATTTATATATTTAAAGTGGCTAAATTGAATTGTGGCTGATTGTTGTTGAATTAGTAATTCAAAATATATTAGGTTATTACCAATTCTGAATTTGTATATTAATAGTTCTGGATGTGTTAATAACTTTTTATTATTGTGCATGTGTATAATATGAATACTTCTGTAAAAAAAAAAATTGTGAAACCGAATCGAACCAAACTGGTTTTTCACGATTTTGTTTGGTTTGGTTTCTTTGGTCAAATGGTTCGGTTTGATTCCAAATTTTATGAATCCGTTAGAATTGATTTGGTTCAAAAAAACTATTAAATCGATCCAAATCGAACCGTGTGCACCCTTAGGGCAAGCCTCTAAACGGGTCCAATTCGAATGGGATCAAAGGTGATCCATTTGAATTCGATAAGGTTATTTTTTTATTTGATTCAATTTAATAATTTAAACGGGTAAAAATGATACTTAAAAAATAATAAATAAAATATGAAAGAAAAAGGTAATGAAAATTAAACTCTTTAAACTTGAAAGTATTTTGATGATATATAAATATTATATATTATAAACTTGAATTTTTATTAGATCGGATAATTATAATATTTAAACTTGAATTTTTATTGAATCGAATAATTATAATTCATATTTGATTTATTTACTTAACGGTTGAGATCAAAATCGGATCCGTGTTTTGTATACAACTTTTGGTGGATGGGCAAAGCACACTATCATTTCTAAAGGCCCTCCCACTACCAAATACGCATGATTCTGGCTTCATATGAGAGAGAGAAGAGAGAGGAAAAAGTTCCTGGAAGAAGGTTATAAAGTATAAACAACAGCTCTCTGATTCATATCAACACACACACACACGACTATTTTATATTGAAAAAGGTTTTCTATTCTGTGAGAAGAAGAAAGAGCTAAAGACAAATACAGAGGTGGGGATATTGGTTCTTTGTAGAGAGAGACACATAGGGGTTGTGATTGCTCAAGTACTACCATATGATTTGGTGTGTTGTTGGGTTGAACCCATTTTCACTTTGTTCTGGTCATCTCCATTATTGACAATATGTACAGCTTTACTACTTATTTCAACTGGTTTTCGCCTCTTAGTCTATACACGAACTCTATCGTTAATTCTTCTCGAATCTTCTTTCATTAGCGTTCTTTGCCTTCTGGGTTTGTTGAAAAAGTTAAAAAAAAAGGCAGTGTTTTCAGTGCGCAAAGGCTAAAAGTTTGTTCTGTGCTTGATTTTCTTATCTGGGTCTTTGAAATTTCTGTTCCGAAGATGACAGTGGAGGAAATTAGAGGAAGCTCGGGTGGTGGAAATGGGAACGATGATAGATTTCCGGTGGGTATGCGTGTTCTTGCCGTCGACGATGACCCCACTTGTTTGATGCTATTGGAGGGTTTGCTTCGGAAATGCCAGTATCAGGGTTTGACCCTTCTCTGTTTGATTTCTCTTGACATGAATCTGTATTTGATTGATCAAAGATGGGTTCTTTTTTATGTTGCTAGTTGATTTTTTTATTTTTTTTATTTTTTCTTTTAAATCCAATTTGGTATTTCTTTGAAGTTCAATTGAAGTTTTGATGAGTAGATGTCAATTTTGGAGTTCTTTTCCATCAATTTTAAAGGGGTGGTTGATTCCTTGCATGGCTGTCAATTTCTCCTCATGAATTTTTGTCAAAGTGTTTTATTTTCCTACTTCTTTTTAAAAAATTCAAAGATTTTGAAAATTTTGATGTTCCATTTTCCTTCTTACTTCCATAATGGCTCAGAATGACAGTTGACTCAGATTTTTTACTTCAACTTTTTAGTTCCTAGAATATTTATGTGTTTGTGTCAAACGTGTGTTCAATTGTCTGCTTTAATTCAAGATTTCTGTGTTCTAATTCTCAGTATATGGTCTCAATTTCTAGTTCAAAATATCTGTTGACTTCGAACCAAAATTTGAGATGCAATCTTGTTATTTATAGAGCATTTGAGAAACTGTGACAAATTTATTTTATTTATTTATTGTTTGGGTTCAGAATTTCTGTTGACTATGTCAGATCTTGTAGTTCCAATTGCAGACTTCTTACAATATTATATGAGATTCTGAAAATTGGGTATTTTGAGTTTCAGTTTTGCACCTTCTAGAAAGTTCAGGAGATTGTGAGAAATGGTTTTTCAGTAATCTTCCTTGATTCCAGTGTGTTCTTAATTTTGATCTTCTTGTATATTTATGAAGGAGTTGCATACTATTTGATTCTGTTTCTATCTCTTAACATTACGATTTTGAATCTATGGTAGACTCAACTTGATTTTTATTTATTAAAATTTCACCTTCTTAAGTGATAACCGGCTGTTGCAGCTACAACGACCAGTCAGGCAAGAACGGCATTGAAGATGTTGAGAGAAAACAGAAATAGATTTGACCTTGTTATCAGTGATGTTCATATGCCAGATATGGATGGGTTTAAGCTTTTGGAGCTTGTTGGTCTTGAAATGGATCTACCTGTCATCAGTAAGCAAGAACTCCATCCCTTATGTATAATGAAGTAAATTTAACATAGATTCAAAAAAAAAATTCTCCTCATTAGTTGAGGTTTAGGTTTCGTATGAGAATTCAGAATTTACTTCAGGTTATTCATTGTAGTCTCTTTGGATATGCAATTTGAGCTTTATATAATATCTAATCCAGGATTAAGGCATGGATTGATTTTAAACTTTTCTTTCATATCTTGAAATGGTCCAGTGTTGTCAGCATACAGTGATACCAAACTTGTAATGAAGGGGATAACCCATGGTGCTTGCGACTACTTGGTAAAACCTGTTAGAATTGAAGAGCTCAGAAACATATGGCAGCATGTAATCAGGAGAAAGAAGGTCGACTCCAGGTCCCAAAACAAGTCGGTTACTCAAGATAGTGCCCAACAGGGAAGTGGAGATGGTGGACTAGGGCCTGCACTGGGAGGTAATGCAGATCAGAATGGGAAGCTCAATAGAAAAAGAAAGGATGAGGAAGAGGAGGATGAAGAGAACGAAAATGAGAATGAGGACCCAGGAGCCCAGAAGAAGCCTAGGGTTGTTTGGTCTATAGAGCTTCATAGGAAGTTTGTTGCAGCTGTTAATCAATTGGGCATTGACAGTGAGTCCTTCATCCCACGTCATTTTATGTTTTGTGCTTCATGTATGAATGTTATCATGGGTTGACTCCCTCTTTTGGTCCTCCTTTTCTTGTTTTTATGCAGAGGCTGTTCCTAAAAGGATTCTTGATATGATGAATGTCAACGGACTTACTAGGGAAAATGTGGCAAGCCATCTCCAGGCATAAATCTTTCCTTATCCTTTCTTGCATCTATTGTGGCTTTAAAAGTTCTATGCCTTCAAATGGAATTCTTTGTATTCTATAATTGTATTGTTTGGCCCAAGGAATAATTTGGATTTTTGGAGTAAACGAAATAAGTATTGTCAGGTGTAGGAAATTGTCAGTATGCTAACAAGTTGGCAAGAGTAAATTGAATTGATTCAAAAATTATGTTAGATTTGAAAGAAGTATATGTTGCATTGTTGCCATTGTTTCACTGTAACATTAGGCAGCTAACTGAATCTTGTCTAATAACTAATAGGGCAAATTACACAAAGGACAACTCAGGTTTTCATCTTATACATGTAGATAGAAGATGCCACAATATAGAAAGGCCTTAAATTTACTGTATGTGGTTAGTGGATTGATATAAATTTACATTTTTGTCCTTAGAGTAAAACTATTTGCTTAATGAAAAAATCTAAAAAAATATGTATTGTTAAAGTTACTGTTTTGCCCCTAAGACTCCTTCACTTTCTTTCCTCTTACAAAACTGTAAAAGGGGTGTCTGGCCATCACGGCAGAGAGGGGATGGGGATGATGCGGATGGAACAAGCGAAAGAGCATCTGGTTTTGAGGATGCTTACACGAACAATCACACACATGCAACCACGCTGTGCCTTGCGTCGGTGATTGACGCCTCGCCCGGCGCTGGAGCCCTCTGCTTCATCGGCTTCGAACCGACGTTGATCTCAGACCCAACTCACCCGATCTTTTCGATTCACCTCCTAACCCTCTCCGACTCGCTCTCTCTCTCAAAATCCCTCCACGATGCCACCGTTCTTTGGTCGCCGTCGAAGATGGAGTCCGTACGGGTCAAGTCCTCTCTATTGGGCATAACGACAGGGCTAAGGGCAAGGCTCGGAATTTGATAACTCAGTCACAGATTGTGGTTGTTGCGGTGTGGTAGCGTGCAGTTGAGGCGGCGTGTGGTTGTGGCGACGTCTTCTTTGACCCAGAGACGGTGTGCTTGATGTGGTGGCAGTGTGTGGTGGGTGCATTGTGGCGGCGGTGTAAGGTTTTGTGGTCAATTTAGCAGTTTTTTCTGTAATTTCAGGCATGTTGTGCCAATTTTCAGGAATTTGAGAAATAAATAGACATGGGTGGAATTAAAAACACGGTTTTGTAAGGGGAAATAAAGTGGAGTCTTGGGGGCAAAACCGTAACTTTAACAATACACAAAAAAAATTAGATTCATTAAACAAATAGTTTAACTCTAAGGACAAAAATGTAAATTCTTATCAATCCACTAATCACAAACAGTTAATTTGGGACCTTTCTGTTATATTGTGGCATCTTCTATTTACATGTACAAGATGAAAACCTGAGGGGTCCTTTGTGTAATTTGCCCTAACTAATAATAAGAGATAACCTTAGTTTCTATTCCATCATGGAAAGTAAAGGAGAATCCCTGCCCCCACCTACCAAAATGCGCCAAAAATAATGAATAAATAAAATAAATCACCTCACCAAGAAAGTATGAAACATGGGCTGACTGGCTTCACTTGGGAAGGTAATTCATTATCAAGGACAGGGATTTCTGATTTCAATTTAGTCCCTGTCCAAATAATTTTGGAGTTTCATTAATATTTAGCATGGCTGGCTCCAAATATTTGCGTGCTTAAAATTGCACTTATAGTATACACCATAAAAACTCTTTACAAATGAATTAACAACTGGACTTATTTGAAAATTTTGAGAAATATTGTCATAATGCTCCCCTTGAAGCTTACCGTTCTGATTCTGTTACAGAAATATAGGCTTTACTTGAAAAGGATCAGTTCTGTGGCAAACCAGCAAGCTAACTTGGTTGCTGCATTAGGATGTAAAGATTCCTCTTATATGCGCAGTGGTTCATTCGATGGACTCGGAGATTTTAGAAGTTTGGCTGGGTCAGGAAGGCTTCCAAATTCTGCCTTGTCATCATATTCACCAGGTGGGATTCTTGGTAGATTAAACACCCCTGCTGGTGTGAGCCTCCGTAGCCTCAGTTCTCCTGCACTGATTCAACCAAGTCATACCCAAATCTCAAGCAACTCCATTAATAATATTGGGAAGTTCCAGCCTGTTGTTTCGCCTGCAAACCAAATTGGAAGTTTGTTTCATGGGATTCCAGCATCATCGGAGCTTGACCATTTGCAACAGAGCAAGTGTTCCAATGGAGATTTCAATTCAACTGCTGATCTAACTAACTTTGCAGCTGCCAGTACATATGCAGACAGCAGTGTTGTAGTTGGTAGTTCAAGTAACTCTCTAGTCAGTGCCCCTAACAATCCTCTGATGCTACAAGGGAACCCACAACAAACACATATTGGGGAAGGATTTGGAAATCAGTCTTCTTTCAAAAGGGCTTCTTTCAACTCGGAACCTTTCAATGTTGGTGTCAGTGGTGCTTCTAATTTCCGGGATAATGGTAGCTGTAATGTGAATTGGCAGAGTCCCATTCAACTATCAAATTTTTCTTCAAATTCTTTGCCATTAAACGAACCTTTCCATCATAATCAGTTGCAACCTAATAGCTTAAGAGAAAATGCTTCCTCAATTGGCCCTCAGGTTCGGAGTAGCCAACTCGAATTTTCTTCTATCATTACACCTTCAGCACCTCTAGAGGATTCCAGAGGAGAGATGCTTTGCCACGCATTGGTTGGTGATAATCTTCAGAATATGAACCAAGCAACAAACCAAAGGTGGAGAGAACATAAAGAGGATTACACCCACAACTCAAATAAAATTTTCAGCACCTTAAGTTCTTTGGTTCCCGCCAGTGGTGTTGTGGGCCCCTTAAGCCAGAGTTTGGACCAAAATAATGGAATCTGCAATGTCGGCCAATCAAATAGTGGTGCTTCATCTCTGGTGCAGCATGGTGAGGTTGAGAGATCAGCTATGGACTCAAAGATGAGTGCCACGGAAGATTACCTTTTGGAGCAAACAAAGTTGCAGGGTGGTTTTGCTCCTAATAATTATGACTCGTTGGATGATCTAGTGAATGCAATGATCAAACGGGTACGAAAATATATCTAGCATTGTCTATATCAATTTCATACGTGATGTGTCTTCTTTTGCTTTGCCCTTATTCATTATTTTGAAATGTTGATTCAATGAATACCATATTAGAATTCAAGAAAAAAAAAAAAAAAAAAAAAAATCATATTAGTCAGCAAACTGTATAAAAATGTCCTGCTTTATATAATTCGTGCAAACTTCTTTTAGGTATTTTTGTAAACTCCAGCAGTTTTGGATACACAATTTTGCAGTAAAATAGAAAATCATTTTGTTCTTTGCTTAAGTCATACGGCTATTTAATGTCATTACATACAATGTCTCAGGTGAAATCTACTTGGGAAGAGATTCTTTCTGGAAAATGAAAGTCAATTGGTTGTCATTTTGAATAAATATATAGGTAAATTTTTCTAAGATAATTTACTTAGAACTAACAGGAGAAAATAGGGGTATTTGTAAGAAAAGTATTGGCGTCGTGCTAAATCAATGAACTTCATTAAATTAGAAGAATCCAATTTGGAATTTTGATGATTATGGCTCTCCAATCTACATGAGGTTGCAAATATGTTGCAGTATGAGTCATGGAATCACCAATGCTTTCACATGATTAATTTCGATACAACTAATATCTTATTTTAATGGACACTATTCATCTAAAGGTCAAAAGATACCCTTTAGAAATTGAAACTACCTGATCAAGTTTATACAAAGCTACTCCTATATTACAGTTAGTACGACGGTTTAGAGTATGTAGCTTATCACGCTCTCTTCCCTCTTCACTGTAGTAAAATGATTACCGTTCCAAGTAACATCTGACTTCCCAGGTTATATAAGAGACCAATGCTTTTTAAATCATCTCTATTTGACTTCCCTTTTTATTTTATTTATTTATTTATTTTTATGTATCTTGTTTCCTCCAACCCTGCAAAGTTGGCTTAAATGAAATTAGTTTCATTGCTAAAACAATTTTCATTCCTTCATGACGCATTTGTTTGTTCATTCTTTCAATTGTGATCAAGAATACCCCTGGCAAGCAAGTGCTATCTGGTCAGGTTCAAAAATTGAACATCTTGCTCGATGTGGGAGAAGGAAGAAATAGAAAATGAAGCTCTCCCTCTCCCCCGATGATCGAGTGCCTTGGTGGCAGAAGGATGTCTTGTCATTTCCTTGTCTTGTATATACTTCATAGAAATCGTTGTTTTCAGTATAAAAATCAAAACCTCTATAAATTTGAGAATACAGGAAATTTTGTGTACTTTATGGGTGAATGGTTATCACGACTACTTTTTAGAAGGAAGGAAATTAAGTTAAAAATAAAATAAATGTTAGTTGCACTGATGCTGCTTTTTATTGCTTTTAGTTGAATGGTTTACCTCTTTGATTTTGTATGTTTAGATGTCAGTGTAATCTAGTATTTTAAAAGAAGCCTGTTAACCTTGGTACATTACCATGTAATCTTTGTAGATTTTTTTTTTTTTTTCCCCCCCCATTTTCCTTATCTTTTTAATAAAGGACTGGAGTATGTGATGCAGGAACAAGAAGGAACAATGCTGATGAACGGAGAATTTGGATTTGATACTTGCTCGTTTGGCTCATGTTTGTGAGATTCCTGTAAGCTGCTGCTTATATCTAGAGAAAAGAGGAGGTATCAACAGATAAGTTCACTCCACGAGGAGTTTGTATCAATATGTAACTTTTTTCTGCATTTCTCTGTGTATCCTTCCAATTTTATCCCGTTATCAAAGTTCTATTTCATGTGGGTTTCTAATGCCATGTGGGTTTCTTAAATCTTTCAATGTCTCGACATCTTGAGGGAACAATGCCATTAGAATATCTCAAACTCTGAAGAACTTTTCTTTTATTTCAATTGCAAAGTGACTGACCTCCAGATATGACATGATGAGAGTTATGGTACTGTGTTAATTGTGAAGCGTAGGAGCATTAGTTGCTGGTAGTTTTACCCTTGCATTATATTAAGTATTGGCACGACGATGCAGGATGCCATAGATTGTTCTATTAGGTGCTCCCTTAAATGGTGTTTGGCCACTCCTCTCCCTGCATCAACGTTCTCGTTCGTTTGCTCGTCCTCGAGTTTATATGAAGGTTCTTTTTTAGTGAGAAGCAACAGAAGCTTTTGCTGTTTTATGAGATGAAGCACGATCATAGTAAAATATTAGATAACAAGAGATGTGGCGATGGCTGCCACAAAATTACAATCCGTTAAAACTGGGCATATACATGTTTCCCTTCGCATACAACTCCCTAATACCCACCACACATAGCTTCCTTGCTAATTTCATGAATTTTTATGGGGATGGTATGGTAATAGTAAGGTTGCAAGAGCCACCGGAGTGATTGGGTTATTTTTCGTATTTGGTAGCATGTGTTCAAGCCTTATACTCTCTCCCTTTTCTCTAACAACTAATTACTAATCTCTAATGTTCTTGCCCTAATGAAAAATGGGAGTAGCAAGGTGCTTTTATTTTGAAAATAATGTACCCAAAAAAAAAAAAAAAAAAAAAAAAGAAGGATTTGGAGTTATTGGTTCGGGCTAAAAGCCTGTTTGATATTAACTTTTGCTTTTGCTTTTACATTTAACTTATAAGTTAGTGTTTGTATTTCTTAAATGCTTTTTGACAAATTATTTGCTGAAACTCTCCTACTACTGGAATAACTAGTTTGCCCTTAAAAATAGTACATTATTCTATAATAAGCCACACTGTCAATTCAGCATGATTGATTGGAAAAGTTATTACACAAAGGTCAATTATCAAATGGAACAACATTTAATTTATAAGAAAATAAAAAATAATGACCATAAAATCATTGCATTGCAACTATCTCAACAAATTCATCAATGGCTATGTACAATCTTTAAAGAACAGAACAAATAAAGAATTAGAAAGAACAACACTCCTATCAATATTCGATACTGTTTCTTGCAGCACATCTGATTGTCAAATGTCCTGATGGTATAGAGATAGAAAGGGTTGGATTGCACCCAGAAAAGACAGAAAGGTTTGGATTGCATCTTCTACAGGGTTGTATAGTCTAAAGCATGCCACATCTTATTTTGCGGGATGTTCATCTCCAGTTCCATGGCACAACCTGGTATGGCAGTCTCCCACAATCTCTCGAGTGAAGTTCAATTTATGGTTAACAGTGCAATCTAGACTTTCAACCCGCGATAACAAATCAATGGCACATCTCCACAATCTATGTGTCTTAGGCCAAAACCACACAGAATCACGTGATCACTTATTCTTTAATTGCTGCTTCATATCGCAAATTTGGAGATAAACTCGAGATAAATGCCAATTTTACACCCAAATTTGCAATTGGGACATCCTAGTTCTATGGATTAGCAATCGATGGAGGTCAAATTCTGCACCAAACCTGTTTCGCAAAGTTTACCTCTCATCTGTAGTCTACCACACGTGGGAGGAAACAAATGACCGAATGGGTTCTCTTGGCAAAAATCTGCTTCACCATCACTTATATTCTCAAGCTTGGGTTCTTTAAGGACTGAGTTGTTACAAGACCCATAAGTGAGTGACTGGAATCTCTCGCGTTCTTGCTCCCTTCTTCCTCCAAGACCACCGGACCGAGCATCGTGATGATATGAAAACCATGAACGACTATATTAGCCGTTAATTTAGGTTATTTGTTTTGGTTTTGGGGCTAGGCCTCATTGTTTTTGGATGGTTGTAATTCTTGTTTTCAGCCATTTATTTGGGCTTTTGCTTCCCAGTTCTCTGGGCTGTTTGGCCGAAGGCCCGCATGTAATTATACTTTATATATTCAGTTGTTTAATCTTTTGGGGAAAAATAAAAATTTCAACAAAATACGTGGAGTGATGACCTTTTTCATTGCAAGTAATTATGAGATTGCCAATAAATGCAAACTAAACTTCGAAGTTAAATTTTTTACATTTCAATACACTAGGTATGAATATAGAGAGAAAAAAAAAAATACAGAGGATAAATTTTTAACATTTTAATGCACTTGGTATGATGGAAATACCACACAATTCTTGAATGACTTTTTCTTATACAAAGTAACATATTTTTGTAGTGGTAATAGAAATGGCGAAGATAAATAATGAAGGTAATTAATTATTGAGGCACTGTGATATTGGAAGAAATTAATAAAAATGGTTACAATCTTTCTGTGGGTCTGTGAAAGTCTCTGTGAGCTACTAGGCAGACAACAGTCAAGAAATTATTAAATATAATATGATTGTAATGGTAAAATGTACTATAATATATACACTTGACTAATTGTATAATGGCATATTAAATGTTTAAAAGTATCAACCAAGCAACCGTAGAAAAAATGACATCCTGAAAATTAAAGCAAAAAAACCAAACGATAATATTCTGAAAAATGCGGTAACTGTTTCTATTGAACACATTAAACATAGACATAGGACTAATTTGGAAGATTAAACAGCAAAGAAACCAGAAGCGTTTTAGTGTGACAACTCCAATATTGTCATACAAGTTACAACCATAAACCATAACCCTTAAGTGAGAATAAATTGTAATAAATTATAGTATAAAATATATATTGACTAATTGCATTGTAATTGTTAATTGCAATTATAATATAACATATATGGAATTGTAATTGTAAATTACAATTTTAATGCTTGACTATAAATTATTATTGTAAATAATTGGATTAGTTCGGTTCCATTTGAAAGGGTCTACCGAAATTAAATGATTTCTCAATTTTGGAACCCAAATCAGAATTGAACCTTTGAAGAACCGAACTGATTCTACCGATTCTTTGTATGCCCTATTAGAATTAAGCCATTTTTTCGAGTGTTGACTAGAATGAATAAACTAGCCTGATAATGATTTATGTGTTTCTGACATTCAAATACAGATGAAACAACATAAAAATTGAAACTCACTATTTGTTATAATAAATGAATACCGGAGAATCATATAAATGAACATTCTATGTAAAAAAAAAAAAAAAAACTATTAGGTATTTATTTTCATATTTGATAAAGACTTTTATTATTATCTTTAAAGAAAATCTTTTTAAGTTTTACATAAATTGAACTCGCGCCATCAAGTCTATAATTATTATAAATTATTAATTAATTAGGACTTATATAATAAAGTTTTAATTAAACGCATAAGTAGATTTATTTAATTTTTTTGGCTATGAAGCACTATATACATGTGATCATATATATGAATCATATGAATATATGATGTGCTTGTTGGAACTAAAGTTCTAGTTAGGATGTTTAAAAATGAATCCAACAATATATATATATATATATCAGATTTTATGCCCTTCCTCATGTAACACATCAATAATTCAATACTCATGAAAACGAATTCACAAGTAATAGTTCAAATTCAATTTAATTAGAAAAAAAAAAAAAGATTAAAATGGAAAATTTATTGCTCACTAAGAGATAAATACATAAATATAATGCAAAATGTATACATCCCTGTAACTTAAGCATGAAGTTACATAAATTCTAGAATGACCCATAGAATCTGGCACATTGCAAAGATTCACACCGCACACCTGTAAGGTACACGTTTAGCGCCCACAATCACATCCCACGCTATATAACCCCACCTCTTCACCTTATCAACACACAAAGAAAAACCCACGAAACACACACACATTTCAATTTCAAACCCTAAATCTCTCTTTTTTCAAACTCTGTTCTCACCGAAGAAAATGGCAAAGAAGGAGATGGAAGTGGTGAAGGGTCTAGATCTACAGAGGTACATGGGTCGCTGGTATGAAATAGCTTCATTCCCGTCAAGGTTTCAACCCAAAAGTGGCATCAACACTAGGGCTACTTACACTTTGAAAGAAGATGGTACTGTGAATGTCCTGAATGAGACTTGGACTGATGGCAAGAGAGGCTATATTGAAGGCTCTGCTTACAAGGCTGACCCTTCCAGTGATGAGGCCAAGCTCAAAGTCAAGTTCTATGTCCCTCCATTCTTGCCCATCATTCCTGTTGTTGGGGATTACTGGGTCTTGCTTCTTGATGATGAGTATCAGTATGCTTTGATTGGTCAGCCTAGCAGGAAGTATCTTTGGGTATGTTCCATTCACTATCTTTCGTATTTGTGTGTGTGTGTGAGCGAAACTTTATGCATAGCTCTGTAAATGGCCGGTTTTGTTCAAATTTCAAGTTTCTGGTGACAAATTTTTTTTTGTTCTTCAAATGGGTTCTTGTTAATTTACTCAATTCACCTCTATAAGGGATTTTGTTGAAATTTAATGTTTTGGTCATCATTTTGTATTGGTTTTTCATATAGGTTCTTGTTAATTTGCTCAATTCACATTGGTTAATTTTTTCCCTTCTTGAATAATTAATAGTTGAAATTAAAATTAGGAATTAGTGAAGATGTGATTGAAAAGAGTTGTGTACACTGAGTTTATCTAGAATTGCCTGCTAGGAATATAATATAGTTGATTTTTTTTTTTTTTTTCAGATTTTCCTTGGATAAGTATGAGTTTTTTTTTTTTATATATTTATTTTGTGCTTATTTATGTGTTATTTTGACTATTTACTTATTAATTTTGGGTATTTATTGGATGTTTCTTTTTCATGTGATGTGGTAATTAGTTTGTTTGTTTTCTGTAATATTTTGTTGGTGTTATTTGTTTTTAGATATTATGCAGACAGACCCATCTTGATGAAGAGATATACAATCAGCTTGTGGAGAGAGCCAAAGAGGAAGGGTATGATGTGAGCAAGCTTCAAAAAACAACACAAACCGATCCTCCTCCAGAAGGTGAAGAAAGTAGTTCCACGGACACCAAAGGCATTTGGTGGTTCAAGTCCATTTTTGGAAAATAGGGAATATGCTAATATATGTTTTTAAGATAAAATAAAGGGTTAAAACCCATCCTACCATTATCTTGATCTTTAGAGTGCTGTATTTAGATTTGTTTTTGCTTTATGGTATTGTCAATCTGTGTAAGATAAGTGATGTTGATGCTAGTTTTGAAACATATGAACTATGACGTGTAAGTTTTCTTTGGGGTGGAGTAAATAAGATATTTTATACTTTATATGGTGTTCTAGATACTAATGTTAAGAAACTTGGGAACCAAGGATAAGTATGAACTCCACTCAAGTTTATGTTGGACCTTATCCCCCCTTCATTGAATAAATATAGCTGTCATGGGCCCAAACTAGGATGTGCATAGACAAGTGACAACTATATTCAGTTCAAAGATGATGATATTGCCTACGGATTTCTGTTGGAATTCATGGAACCAAACCCAAATTCCTCACCCTGTACCACCGAGTCCCGTCAAAATTTCGAAATTTGTGGTTTCTCCCGACTGAAAATTCAATGGCATGGGAGATATATTTGTTCAGAGGTTGACCAGAGACCATGGTCTATATTTCTATCTTCAGATTTCTCGAGATTCAGGCTAGCTTGGTATGGTGGAATGAATTGGAATGGAATGAGAATAGAGGTGGAAATGGAATAGAGTGGGAATTATGATTCCCATTCTCTTGTTTTATTGCAAATATAGAATAGAATGTATAAAAGTAAAATAATAATTTCTATTTATTTGTTTGGTTGGATTAAAAATAAAAATGGATTAAATTTATAATATTTTACCTTATTCATCATTTATATTATTTTCTCCAAATTATCTTTATCATTAATAAAAAAATTATTAACTAAAAAATTAACATCAAATTTTTTCCAATCCAGTGGATAGAAGGTATGTAATAATGAGATTGAGGCAATAGATAGAAAGAAAAAGTAGAGAGAAAGTAGAGACTGAGCAAGTGAGATGTTGGAGATTGGGCGAGAAAAGGCGATGGAAAGAATGGTGATCCGATTTGAAAAAAATGGTGATCCGATTTACAAACTTCGGTGCGATCAGGTGAGGACGGATCTGATTTGGAAATAATGGTTTCAGCAATTCTTTCACAAAATCAATGAAAAAGTTTATGTAAACAGATTTGAAAAGTATCACGAAAAAACTTTAGATCATTTTTTATTTATTTATTTATTTATTTTTTTTAACTTACCAAAAAACAAAAAAGTTTCAAATCTACTTTTGATTTTTTATTGTGTCTTTGTCCAACACTTTGAAGTTCAAGATCAGACGGTGGGTTTGATGGAGGAGATGATAACGCCGGCGGTGGGTTTGATGGAGGAGATGATAACGCCGGCGGTTTGATGGAGGAGGTGATGCTGGCAGTGGGTTTGATAGAAGAGATGATGATGCCGGCAGTGGGTTTGATAGAGGTGATGATGCCGGCGGTAGGTTTGACAGAGGATGTGATGATGCCGGCTGTGGGTTTGACAGAGGATGTGATGATGCCTACGGTTTGTTTGATGGAGGAGATGGTGATGCGTAGGTTTGTAATTTGTTAGGTTTTTTTTTTTAATATTTTTTTAGTTTGTATTTTTCTAAAGTTGAAATGAAATGGTCATTCCTTTTGTGAAAAGGTGGAATGATTTTGATGGAATGACCATTCTCCAAGAATAGTGGAGAATGACGATTCTAAGTTTAAAATTGGACCACCAAACACAAGAATAGAATAAAAACCATTCCATTTCACTTTCTTTGCATTCCATTCCACCGCACCAAACTAGGCCTTAATCTATTGACATCGATCTCTTAGAGATATGTTCACCTAGTCTGGTCAACTAAACCACACAGTAATTGCGAAGGCATTAAATTCCTTTTCTTTGTATCGTTAAGAAACTAGTAACTATCGTATTCGTCTTCACAAGTCTAATGTCTCTTTTTAAATAGACAACAAATTGAAGTAATGAGCTCTCGAATTTTATATAAAAAATGAAGTAAATTTCTCAGTATTTTCAGGTAACTAAGGTCTTCTAATTGGGAGTTTTCTAGATCAAGTAATACAATACGCTGAACTAACATAGTTATGCAAGCTGAATCACTGACGTCTTAACATACCAACTATTTGATAACAAATCAGAAAGTATATGGCTATCTTAATTTAGAGCCAAGTCAATTTTACTTCCTCAGAGGGGATAAAGCTAGCAGTGCCAAAATAAAACAAATAGAGAAAGGTAACATTTCCTAGAACATGCCCTTGTCTAAGCATTGTGAACATGGAAGTATATTAGTATTATAACAAGGAAAACATTGCCCGTATCAGTCGGTTTCCATTTCTTCAATCCGATAGCAAAGATACAAGAGGGGTAACATCCATAAATTCTGGCAAGCGAGCAACAAATAAATGATATAAACAACTACCACCATCTTGTGTGAACCATCATATTTAACACTAGAACAAGTGATTGCCATGGTAGCGTAGTCTCTGTGCTTTAAAATCTTACAATATTGTACAGCATTGGTTGGTCTTTTTTGCCTGCTTGTAGAACATCTGTTTCAACAACCAACAAGCAGGTCCTTGTATTATCAATTGAGTAAATTTAGTTACATAACTAAACATTAAAATAACTCGCACAAAAACAGTGATATGGAATCATAACTATGAATATCATCTTTCTTATAGAACAATATAGAAATGTAAGTTCTCAAAATCCATTTCTTAAATCAGGTCCCTTACATCACACACAGAAGATTCTGTTTTGTGGATAAATTGTAAAAAATATGATATTTTGCAGAGTTTTCAATGATATATATGTTTTATTTTTTTGTAAAAGAAAATTCCAGTAAAATATCTCAAAATAGGAGAAATAAAGAGAAAACAATAAAATATAGAATAAAAAGGATATAACATATCAAACTAAATACCTCTCCTGATCACAATATAACTCCTCCTAAACATAACTAAAACTATCAGACCTCGTACTTGAAACTCTCTGAAACTAAAACCTACTGTAATATCTCAATCACCACCTAGAGAACTCCAAAAAATAAGGGCTGATTATAATAAATTTCATAGTGCTCAAAGAAGACCAATAAGCAACTCCAAATCCAAATATTTTAGACCAAGGATACCCTCTTGCAGAAAACCCTTTCATATCATAAACTACATTAAAAATGTTATGCATCCAGTGTTTCACCAAGTGAACTCAATGATTTTATTCCTGTACTACTAATAGTAATTAAAAAAAGCTTATATCCCAATAATTGGAACATCTCATGCAGGCAAGCATTCATTCAGTTATAGATCGAAGCCATGACCCAAATTGCAAGAATAAAGGCACTTTAAAATATAAAAAAAAACAATGCAACCCCACACACTGATCAGTTGCGTTGATAATCTTACAACTAACAGTTGAAATGGATGCAGTATATTATAAACTTCAATGAGGTTCAACATGGACACATTGTGATCATTAACAAAGAATATAAGTAAACCAAAAAGAAGAAACATATGCTATGTAAATGCTCCATGGTGAACAGAAGTTTGAACAAACAGATGTTGTGCTAGTGCAAGTATGCACAAATTACAAGTATGTACCTGTGAAGCAGCACTGAGATCTGAACTCTTCTCAACTAAACTGTCCAGCTTCTCACCACGCGCAAGGACACTATCAATAGTCTTGTGCTGTATGAAGCGTAGAAACATATGAGGAAAGAGTACAGTAATAGATTAACTAGATCAGTAAATAATTGTTGCAATAAGACTATAAGGTCATATACAGAATATTCAAAATCCCCTTGCTTCAATTTCTGAAAAAAAGAATATTCATAATCACATTTTCATGTGACATCTACGAAACTTCATCCCTCCAAAAATAGTGAGGAGTAAAATTAATTAACGTTTATAAATTTCTATGCAAGACTAAGATTTGCTTCTACCAAATAGTTTTGTTGCAGAGTGTGGAGAATACTATCCTGCAAACTATGACAGCAAAGTTGATAAAGAACAGCACTGTAAAAGTAGTAATAGAACCCCGAATAATCGATTTTATTGTGGGCTTAGTTCATGGAAATCTTATATATATTTATGGCTTTAGTTTGTTGAAAAATAGGAAGTTTTCATGGAGAGCCGTTGAAAATCACTTGGTTCCAGAGGTGAAGGTTGCAGGAAATTCTGGACAGATTGTGGAATTTAAGTATGATTTTGAAGGCCTAAAGATAAGAAAAAGGGTTAACATTGATTTTGAGCTGGTACAAAAGAGTTTGGGGATGAAAAAGGGAGAGTTCAAGGACTGAGAATAGTAACCCACAAGAAAATATTAGCTTTTTTGTGCACTGCAGTTGAATAACTGAAGATGGAAGGGTTAGGACTTGGAAGATAGGATCTTTAAGGGTAAACAAGTCTGATTATCTCTTGCAAAGGCTAAAAAAAAGTGCAGAACCTTTAACAAAATAAATAATAATAATAACAAAATAAATAAATAAGTTAGGCATCACAACTAAGGTTAGAAGACCTAAAATAGCTTCTGAAAATTCAATAAACTTATATTTACTGAAATTAAAAGAGAATCTAAGCATCTGTAAATTTGCTAGAAAGTTCATACAGCATTTAGGCCTATGACTCCAAATATAGATTTGAAATATAAAAATTTAAAGACTTTGACTAATAGAACTTCTCTAAAGTAACTATGAACCATAACTTATGACTTAATTAGAATACCATGACCCAAACAAAAACTCATGGGCCAACACTAGTGCCCATGACAACTGGAACCAACAGCATATGAACTTTAGTAGTTTAGTGAAGATAATATAAATGACTTCAATTGGGTCCCTCGTTGAAATGAACCAACCAATAATTTGCTTTCTTCTCTTTCTTGAACTTCTTATGGACTGCATCATTTATTGGTCATATTTAAACGGTATAGCTGTATACACAATCAATCTAGTAAATTATATATATACTCATAACTCAATCTAGAAATACCTAATGTTAGAAGTTAGAAATTGGACGAGTTACAGCTTAAATATATTCTCTTACTTGCCTTTGCCCAGTAAGTAAGAAAAATACAATTACCATTAAACTGGCAAAAATCTTCAAACAAATTTAGTATGTGTGTTGAGGGAATAGAATATAAAAGATGTAACTAAATTGACTGCTTTAGGTATATTGGCAGAATCATTAAAACTCCATTTGAGAAATTGAGGTCTACTTTCATACCCTCTCTTTCAGTAGAACTTCTACTATCTTTTGTTTTTTGAACATTTCAAACATTATATAAACATTTACATTGATTTTTCTTATAGTAATATTTTCTTCCACACCAAAAGAAAGTCTTTTACAATATCAAAATTCATTGCAAGAATAAAAAGTGTTAGCCAAGTGTCCGAAATTTAAAAAAAAAAAAAAAAAAATTATTTTTTAAACAATGGACGCATCCAAGATGTGTTAAACAGGCATCCAAAAATGTCAATGACCAACACACATACAGCACCATTTAGAAGTTTCATGCTTCATAGGCACATATGTAACAGCTGGCTCCTTCAGTTCAGGAAATCCTATGCTTTAAATACAATGTAGGCTTGTAATGACCATAAATTGTCACAGAAACTGTTTAACCATTCCTTTTTAAATAAAATAAAATAAACTCCCTGCCACTTTCCTTTTAAGTCATTTGATTTCTTCATGTTTTGTAGCAAAAATATGACATATTACATGGAACTCTAATTTTGTTGGACTTATAATATCTCTCCTTAATTCAACATAAACCAGATGATTTAGATACACTGAGAGAACAATAGATAACATCATTATATATTCTAAATATACCAAGAAAATTGTGTTGTGGGGGGGGGGGGGGGGGGGGGGGGGGGAGAGAGAGAGAGAGAGCTAATACAATTTGAATAGTTACTAAAGAAGCAGAGTATATTCAATTGGGTTGTTCCCGAAACAACAGCAGAATCAGTTTCAAGAGCCGGTCCACGAGTTGCTTTCCCTAATAATAATATATTCACATAAAGTATGACATAAAAGCCGTGTGTGTTGGCCTAGTATCAATACCATATGTTCATTAGTTTGTTAATAAAGAAGCAACATTCCAAATTCTAGATAACAGACAAATATATACTATTTGAAACAATGTTCTTGGGTAAATTTATACATTGTTGCAATCTACAACCAAATTTTAGATGAAAAAAATATATATGTAAGAGTGAAACATTAACTCAATTGGGGTTGTTCCCAAAACAACAGCAGAATCAGTTTCAAGAGCCGGTCCACGAGTTGATTTCCCTAATAACAATATATTCACATAAAGTATGACATAAAAGCGCATGTGTGTTGGCCTAGTATCAATACCGTACTTCCATTATTTTGATAATAAAGAAGCAACATTCCAAATTCTAGATAACAGACAAATATATACTAGTTGAAACAATGTTCTTGGGTAAATTTAAACATTGTTGCAATATACAACCAAATTTTAGATGAAAAAGAATATGTATATACAAGTGAAACATTAACATAACCTCGTCCATAACATATGGACATACAAATTCAAGAGTTGGAAAACACAAAAAGATATTAACACAAATAAAGCGCAAAAAGGACGAGGTAATTAAATCATATACAGATCCGAACATGCACAATAATGCAGTTATAACAGAACACTCACAAGAATAATTTTCGTTTCGTCCAATTCCCTCTGAATTTTCAATAGCTTGTCAGCCTCAGCAGGGTCCTGAAATATTAAAAGAGGGGGGAACTTCAGCTCATCTTCAGCATATGCTCAAAACATAAATTTAGTGTATTCAAGTTGGAAATAGGGGAAAACATATCAATATGCTGTCTTATGACTAGCAAAAACAATGAGGACAGAGTTAGAGAATACCTGAAATTTGGTTAGAGATTCACTCAGATAGGGCCATGGTTGAGCATTATCTTCTTGCACAGTTCTCCACGAATCACCAAAATTCTTTTGGTACTCATCTATTAGCTGACAAAAAATTTACTTAATAATTACTTCCCAGTCGTATCTGCTAACTTCTTTTGGTACTTATCATCACCACAACCGTACCCATACCCTTTGTTATACCATTACAGACCCTAAAGTGCTTTTTTTACCAAATTTCAGCCACAAATAAATTGATTAAATAAGCCCAAAAAGATCTGCTTAGCATTTACCCAACATTGATCGAAAATTAAGGTCTGCCATTAATATGTAGAACTAGGAGTGACAAACTGAGAATGGGGTGTTATGGGAAGGGGCACCCCTATCCTGAACATGCCCTGTCAAATAGGAGCCCCAAACCGACCCTGATGAGAGTCTATCACACCCCAAATCCAACTAGACCATCTAAACCTTTACCTGCCCGCCCCTGACCTGTCCCATTGCGCACACATATAGTAGGGAAAAGAACTTGCATACAGAGACGAAAAAGGGAATGATGCTGATTAACATTGCCAATTGAATCCCTCATATGAAATTCATGCAAGGTTTTCTGAATTTTATATGTATCAAGGTACAGCAACATAATTCAGAGAGAAATCCGGCCCTGATATTGACTGTATCCAGCAATGGCTGCCACCTTGAGGTTCAGCCGTGTGGAAATATAATTTATGGTATATTCTAGCTTCTAACACGTTCTTCAACTGCTTATTGCTGTCTCCCCTTACATTTAAGCACCACACTTTTGGATAGTTCATTTAAAAATAAAAAAATCAGACAGCTAAATCTACAACTTCAGAATATAAAGTAGGAAGGCTCAAAAAGGGAATCTACACGAAGAAGTTATTGCTTATATGTACTAAACTAGTATGAACGGTTTAAGATATTATCAGAACATGACAACATCTGAAGATCATTCACTCAAAAGTCAAAAGTTCATGACTGAGTAAAAGATAAGGGGGGGAAAACTATCACAGAACAATAAACATGCAAAAAGTATCGAAGCAGTTGGCACTAGGATGAAATTTTTTCGAAATAAAATGGATAAATGAATAAAAGTGGGTCTACCTGATTAAGCAGTGAAAACGAACTTCGAACAGGATAGTGATCGTCCATAAATCCCAACGCACAGAGACCATTTCTGTTGTAAGAATGCACCATGTACTCTACGAACAGAGGGGGGGAAAATAAAAATAAAAAATAAAACTTTGCGCGACTCGGATAACATATTTGCAAACACTATACCAAAATTGTAAAATGATTTCTATAAAATAAAAAATAGACAAATATTCATGCATCAGACATGAGGATTGCGTATTCTTTCCAATTAAACTTCCAAAGAACAAGTTCAATTTTCTTCAATCATGAAACAAAAGACTTCAAAGCCAAGTATATCTAATTCCAAAAAAAAAAAAAAAACTTAAACAGCATGTTAAGGGAAATCTTACTAACAAGTTCAACATTCTCTTAAAACAACCCCAAATTACTTAATCACTGAATTGCTCTCACAAGTCATAAACTTTAGTAAAAACAACATAAGCTCATGATACTTACAATTATTAGATAAAAGAAAGATCCAAAACTAACAAAATGATCCAAAACTAACAATTTACCAATAACTATGCATTTCACAATATTTTATAGAAAAAATTATTTGGCAGCATAATCAAATTCAAGACTTCAAAATTTTCAAATCCTTTTAATTGCACAGCTACTTAAGTTTAGTTGTCACTAAAATAAATAAATAAAACAACCAGTTCTCTGAATTATTCATCAGAACATTTTCTAAATTGGTTGAGATCTTCAATTCAACATCCGAATTTTTGTACTCCAATTCAAATTCAAGCTTCAAAATGTTCTTTTCCCCTATAATTAGCTTGAAAATTGTTACATCAAACGAATTTTCCAAGTAGTTTATCAGAAATATTTACTAATACGGCCAAATTGTCATGACTTCACAACCCAATTACCTAATGAAGTAATTGTCTTTTGAGCTCTAAATACAAATACAAATGGTAATTCTACCAAATAACTACAAATGTTCAGAGAATTATACAAACTAAACTATCTCTTTGTCAAATTATCACCAAAGCTAATAAGACCAAAGCTAATAAGAACAAAGATGCTAAACAAAACTAACCTAACTGTATGTTCAAGAAATCAAAAAATACAGGTCATAAACAAAAATGCCAACTACACAAGTCCAGAACACGACAAGTGCGAGATCCAAACCCTAATACATGAAAGAGATCGGATGAGCATAATAAAGTTATCGGACCTTCGTGTTGGACGGATTGGCGTTGGCCGGGTGGGGTCCGTCTGGCGACAGTCCGACCCACGAAGACGATGAATTCTTTGACGCTGGATCTCTGAAAGTACCCGAAATGGCTGACGTCCGATGCGTTCGCCAGTATTACCGGATCCGACCCCTCCGGAATGCATTTCAGAACCAGGAGCGCGGTGATCTTCATCTCTCTCTTAAACTCTCCCCTTCTCTCTCTAAAATTCAGAAAAACAAAAGGGTAAAAGGCTTCGCAAGAATGAGTCGATCGTTCGGGGTTAAATCAATTATTTTTTTCTTTTTCTGGTTTTTTTTTTTTTACGCAGACCAGTATTGGATTGTGTTAGGTTTGAAGGAAACGTAGAGAAGTTGCGTTGCTGTGGCGCGATCGTGATTCGTGACGCGTGTGATTCGAAATTCTGTGATTGTTGCAATCGCCTACCTGTCAGTAATCAACTTGTGCCAATTCGTTCAGCTTGTATTGGCCTAGGCAGCATCACCGACAAAATTGGATATAATGTGGGACCTACTTTTGATCAATTTAATTTGTGAAAGTTAAAAGTTTTGATTGGAGTCGTTGAATGGTCTTATTAATTTGAAAGACAATACCTGTCCAAACTTAGAAATTCAACAATATTACTGTAATTTAGTAATCCCTGTTTTAAAATAAGTGTTTTTTTTAGAAACATTTTTTTTTTTTAATGTTATTATTCTTAATGTAGTAGGGACTGAATTATTAGCTCATTATGATGTGATAATTTATTTTTAAAATGGGATACTTATATTTTGAATTGAATAAAAAAATATAAAAAATTTGAACATCTATTAAACTTTTGATAATCAACATGGAAGACAAATCCCAATTGTTTGTCTAAAGAAGAAAAACGATTTGACTTAAACATAAATTATAACGTGTAATTACAACAAATTATAAATGTGAATTGAAAAATGATGTGTTCAAATTAGGTTATGGGACACTCACACTTGTGAGTAGACCTGTAAATAGAGCCAATCTTGATTCGAATTTTATCTTAATCCGATTCAATTAATCGGATATGAATTGAACAAAAAATTTGATAACCCGATTATGATCCAAATACGATAATCCATTAGCTTAACAAATAAAATATGAATTATGTTGATCCGATCCGATTTAAATTATATATATAAATAGTTATATATATATAATTATTTATCAATAATTTTACATATACATATATATATACACGTGTGTGTGTGTGTCAATACTGCTATTAGAATTGTATTAGAAGTAATCCAAAAATTATATATATATATATATATATATATATATAATGTTATATATACAATAATGTGATGTTCTCATCCACATGCTAATAAATCTCTTAATATACATACTAATAATATCATACTCTTTATAATTTTATATATTAGTAAATATGATTTTAATCCGAATTCAAATCCGATTCGATTCGAACTATCTTAATATACATACTAATAATATCATACTCTTTATAATTTTATATATTAGTAAATATGATTTTAATCCGAATTCAAATCCGATTCGATCCGAGTTCGAACTACATAGGATATAGATTGGGACATTCAATCCGAGAACCCATTAGTGATTCGAATTCGATAATCCGTTTATTTAATAAATTAAATATGAATTTGATCGATCCGATCCAAATTCAATTCATTGATAAACTTACTTGTGAGCCCCTACAACATGGTAGAACTCACAAGTTCACAAACCTTGTCTTTGTCATTTCAAAAAATGAATCCTATCTCTGATTATTGTATAGTGCTTGTGATCAAATATATCTCACTATCAATTCAACATCTGATCAACTTAATCAAATACAATCTCATTTTTTTATTTAAAATAGGATTAAATGCAAAAGACCCCTTTATAATATACAAAATGTGTAATTACCTTTTACTGTTAATAATTTTTACAATAAAATTACTAAATTAATCTTATTTTATCATTAACAAAAATAGAAAGAATGAATATGTATGTGTAAAAATTTGCATAAAAACTAAACTTACTAATATTACTTTGACGTGGCCTCATCATAATACAAGAAATAACTTTCTATCTAATTTTACCGATTTCTATTTATTTATATCGAAAATTTGTAACTGTTTCTTAATTTTTTATCTTGATCTTCGAAGAGATCTTGATTTTTTGGAGGGGGTTGTGATCTCTGGCTCTTCGTTGATATTATAAAATTTCTTGGACTTGTTAATTCCGGATGCTCTTTCTCCTGTTTTAAAGAAAGATATATAACTATGGAAAATTTTAGATAGAGAAAAAAAATTTAGAAAGAAATATTATATTTTATTTGAACATCTCAAACATTCTCTTAAAATACCTTCTTTTTTTTTTTCTTTTTTTTTTAAATATACACTGCCACGTATATATTAGATGTAAAATTTGATTTTAGAGCTTGACAATGTATGAAATATTTACCCTACTTATCAAAATATATATATATATATATATATATATATATATGTATGTATGAAATATATATCCAAAAGAACCACAAAAATAATTCTATTACTAAGTGATAACGTGAGTATCAATTACCAATCAACCAAAATAAAAAATAAAATAAATAGAAACATATCAAGAGAGATGGGTGGGTGGCTCAGATTCGCCTTTGATCAGACAAGATGCCACACCGCAATGGCTGCAACAACAGTTGCCCAGTGAAAGAAAGGCCAAAAAAAGACCCAATCTTCCACGGACCCTCAGAGTTGCCTCGCCAATAGACGATCTAGCGTCTGATTTTGTTTCGAATACATATCATCACAGCCATACCAATACAGTTTGAGAGAGAGAGAGAGAAAGAGAGAGCGAAGGGCGTTTTACAGCCACTTCAATATATATGTATATATCCTTATAAAAAGAAAAGAAAAGAAGGGAAGCAGGAAATGGAAATGAAGGGTTGTTGATTTTAACGGCGCTGGTCTGAAATCATCGGCTCTGCGGATGTTATCCGGTTCACAGAGAGGGGCAACCGCCCTTAGAAACTTCCCATCTCTCTGAGCAAGTCTCATTCTTAAACTAATGAGTTTTTTGAAACCCTAGATTTCACCTTTGCCCTCTTTTTGTAGTGCCCTGGGTTTGCTTTGTTCCCCGTTTTAACCCTGGTTATTTGGGAGGTGGAGGTTGCGGAGCAGGGTGTTTCAGTCATTGCGCCAGTGGAAACCATTTTCAATGCACAGTCAGTAATGGGGCAAAAGATGCACCTGTCATGTGTCCGTGCTGGTGTTGCATGAATTGTTGCATTGCATTTCAGTCCTTGATAAATGACATAATTGGTGAATTTAGCTAGAGCAAAGGTATATTTACATATACATGCTTACATACATATATATATATATATATATATATATATTTTCTTCGAGTGTGTGTACCGCCCCATAACACACGCATCATTAAAGTTAGGAGTACGATTTGAAAACGAGATTCTAAGGACATAATTGTTGCATTTCAATCCTTAATAAATGACATAACTGGTAGATGTAATTAGAGCAAAGGTGTGTGTGTGTATATATAGGTGTGTGTGTGTATATATATATATTTTTCTTAGAGTACGTGTATCGGCTTCATAACATAAACATCATTCAATAAACATCATTCAAGTTAGGAGTATGATTTAAAAGCGAGACTTCAAAAACTTACCGAGAGAAAATCTACCAACACTACTATGTCCCTGGGGCACTAGAGCAAAGGTATGATCAAGTTAATATTTAATAATTGTATATTTAATAAAAAAAATTAAATATAAAATTTACTGTATTTGGAACCTTTTAATGTGTCCCAACTCTCAGAAAATGGATTTGAAATCTACGTAATAAACAGAGAGTTTGACAATCCTAACTAAATTAATTTGCGTATGTGATGATGTTACGATGAGATTATTATCATATTTAATGATGTCATCTTCCACTCGCATAAATAAATTAGATAATTTTATTTTTAAATTACTTATCATTATTTTTTATTTTAAAATGTGAAAAAATTTAAAATACAGTCCTAGACACGTTTAGTCAAACGAGTTAGTAAATGTATGATGTTTATGTTTGTAATGACGATGAAAATTGCGATTTCAAATTTTTAGATACCTCAACTTTTTTATTGATTATAATATAAAGTTGTTAATACAATTTCTTTGAGTTGAACTTCATTAATAGACCGTTTGCTTGCAATTGCCGTTTAATTATTTAAAAGTGACTTTATTTAAAAAGTTGATTTTAAATTGTTTGAGAATAAAACAATAATTTTTATAAATAATTGGGATTTTATTTCAATAAAACTTTTGAATGAAGTTAAAAAATTAAAATTTTAAAACTATTTGTTTGTTTCTTTAAACAATTTTATTCATTCTTTAAGAGCAAATTGCATAAAACCCCATGTACTTTAATTTTTTTTGACAAAGAAGCTCACTTGAAGGAAAAAAGTTGACATTAAATTCTCCAAATTATTATTATTATTATTATTATTATTATTATTATTCCCTTAGTTAGATTCACGCACCCTACATAAAACTGTTTGCACCTAATACTATTAAAAATCGATTCTAAAACATGATGTTTTATGCTCGTAAAGGGTTCCTTAATGCTCGGTTCGGTATAAAGGAAAAAAATTAAATGGAAGGAAAAGAAGAATGGATGACTGAGACATCTTAGGAAAAAGATTGTTGTACGTCTGGTGTGCATGAATTGAATGGAATGAAATGAAATGCTGGGGGAATGAAATGAGAATGAGAATGAAATGAAAAGGTCATTCTCATTCTATTGTTTGGTTGTAAATATGAAATGTGTAGGAATGAAATGATAATAACCATTCTAGTATTTAGTTGAACCAATTTAAAATTTAGAATTGAATAAATTTCTAATTGAATTGTCCAAAATATCCCTCTTAGCAACAAATAAATTAAATAAAATTAACAAAATGATATTCTCTAATAATTTTTTAAAAATAAATGGTGGAAAGCGGTAGTAGTGTAGGTGGTGATGTTGGAAGGCAGTGGTGGTGACAATGGTGAAAATTAGTGGCAGCAGTAGTGGTGGAAGGTGGCAGTGGTGTTGGTGGAAGGCGATGACAGTAGTGCGGTGGTTGTGGTGGAAGGAGATAATGGTGTGATTATGGTGGTGGTGGAAGGCAGTGGAAGTGGCTGTGGTGGTGGAAGGTGGTGGTGGTGGTGGTGGTGGAAGGCGGCGATGGTGGTGATAGTGGTGGCGGTGGCGGTGTTGGAAGGCTGTGGTGGTGGTGGAAGGCGGCGATGGTGGTGATAGTGGTGGCGGTGGCGGTGTTGGAAGGCTGTGGTGGTGGTGAAATGTGGTGGAAGGTGGTGACGATGGTGGTGATGGAAGGCGGTGACGGTGGTGGTAGTGGTGGCGGGTGGTGGTGTTGGAAGGCTGTGGCGATAGCGGTGGCAGTGGTGGAAGGTGGTGGTGATAGGAGGTGGTAGAAGGTGGCGATGGTGGAAGGCGATGGCGACATTGTTGGTGGTTGTGGAAGGCGGTTACAGTGGTGGTGAAAGGTGGCTATGGTTGTGGCGGTGGTGGAAGGCAGTAATGATGGTGGTGGGCTGTGGTGATGATGGTGGTGGAAGGTGGTAGTGGTAGTGAAAAGTAGTAACAGTGGTGGTGGTGGTGGAAGGTGGTAGCAGTGGTGAAAGACGATAACGGCGGTGGTGAAAGGCAATGGCAATGGTGGTAGTGGCGGTGGCGAAAGGCAACAGTGGTGAAAGGTGACGGTGGTGGTTGCGGCAAACGGTGGCGGTAGTGGCGGTGAAAGACGATGGCGGCGACGGTGGTGGAAGGCAGTAGTAGTGGTGGTGGTGGTGAAAGGCGGAAATGATTGTGGTAGAAGGTAATGGTGGTTTTTGGACTTGGAATACAAGAGTGTTTTGGGAAGTCAATTTTTTAAAATAAATTACTTGGGAATAGAATAGTCATTCCATATGTTTAATTGTGGAATGGATTTTCATTCTAATGGAATGACCATTCCCACTTTTAAGTTGCATCCCAGCAAAGGAATGGGGTTGGAATGAGCATTCGTAGCATAAATGTTTCTCTTTTTTTGTAGGTTGAATGCTTTACTTTATTTATAAAATCTATTAAATATTTATGAATAATGATGTAATAATTTAAAACTTCGTTCATCTTTCATATTATCCTTTATTTCCTTATATCATTCCGAACAAATTTCCTTCATACCAAATATGGCATAAATATTTAACTTATTGCAATATAATGTTATAAGGACAAAAATACACTTTAATATAACTTTTAAAAATAGTTTTATTTTTGATTTTTTTTTCATTAAAAGGGAACTTTAAGAAAAAGTATACTTTTTCAAATTTTTATTAACGCAACATTGAAAAAGTTTCGAAAATCTCAGTGTAAAATGAATTATTTATATTAAAAGAAAAATAATTTTCTTAATTTTGCAAATAATTGTATTGTACAGTCACATTGATGCACATCTTATATATTCTCAGGATTGGGGTTTAATGCAATTTGACCATGAAAAATGCGTGTAATGCCTTAAACAGATTAATTGTTACCAAAAAATTTAAAATTACTACTCTATTTATTAAACTTAAAAAATAATGTATCATAAAAAATATAAAACGAGAGAACCAGTTTTCAATATGATAAGAGTATCTGTATTCAACTATTAACACAAACAAAATCTGAATAATTTCCAGCAAACTATAGTCCCTAAAAAATGGACACTTCTCTTCCATCTTCAAATCTGAAAATTGTAGCTCACATTCTTAGAAAAACATGAAACACAGACATATATAATTATATATAATATATGCAAGGGGAATAAAACGAGGCTCAGATCTGCTTTAGATCAGATCAGACGAGAATGTGACACAACCATGGCTGCAACAACAGTTGCCCTTGATAATACAAAAAGCATTTCGCCTTGCCATGAAAGGAGTCACCTTCTCGATGACTGATTTGCTCAGATATTTTTCATCACAGCCTTTTGCAAAAAGACCATAAAAAATTTCACCAAATAGGATTTAGTTTGCAAAACAAGAATAGAGAGAGAGAGAGGGCAAGTTCAGAGTCGAGAACGAGAATAGAGATGGAGGCGATTGGGGAGGCTGAAATATACAGTATAATATATGCAAGGGGAATAAAATGAGGCTCAGATCTGCTTTAGATCAGATCAGATCAGACGAGACTGGTACCATGGCTGCAACAACAGTTGTCCGTGAGAATACAAAAAGCATCTCACAGACCATCCGAGTCGCCCTGCCAGGGAACGAGTCATCTTCTCGATGACTGATTTGCTCAGATATTTTTCATCACAGCCTTTTGCAAGTAACAAGCCGCCGCCGCCGCCACCACCACCGGTCCACCACCACGAGGACGATGAAGTCCACACACACACACAAGACATAGATACATATATATATATATACACTCTTACTCAGAAAAGGGGTTTTCCCTTTGAGAGTGAGAGTGTGAGAAAGGCTGTTGATTTTTAGATGAAGTCATTGGCTCTGGTAATCAACCGGTTTCAGAGAGGGGCAACCACCCTTAGAAACATCCCATCTCTCTGGAGGAGCCTCATTCTTGAGCTAACCCTAGTTTTCCATCCAACCCTCTATTTATATCTGTCCACCAATTTTATTTCCATTTTTACCCCTTTTTACTTCTTGCGGTTGGGTCAGTTGATGGGCATCTCCGTCTTTTAGAAGGCATCTTAAGTGTCTGAGGAATTGGGCAAGGCCCAAACTTTAGTAGTGGGTCTATATGTAATGATATTTGCGCTACAAACCTTGGCAAATCATAAGAAGGAGCAATTAAACATACTAAAAGAACACATCCATCTAGTTTCTGTTCCTAAAGCCCATTTTGTAACTCCCCAACTTCACTCCCAAATTTGACCCCATATATGTATGTATGTATATATTTTTTTGTGTAACTAATGCTATAGTGATTAGGTAAATTTGCAAAAGGGTCTTTTACTGAAGCATCCCAATTACTCCATCTAAAAACATTTTGAATTTGGTATTGGAACTTGGAATCAATTAATTATCTACGAAGACCACTTCACAATCATTTTACTTTTCTCCAATGTTTACAAGCAATGTTGTAGTTCCATAACTTATACTACTAGGTTTGAAAAAATTAGCCTTATTACTTTGATCTATTTTGATATTTGCTACGTGTGATCAACGACATATCGATACTCCTAAAATTTTCTTATGGACAAACTTAGGCCATGTTTGGTGTGGGCTATTAAAGGTGGAATCATCATTCTCCACCATTATCGGAAAATGGTCATTCCACCAAAATCATTCATTCTTTTTACCAATGGAATGGACATTCCATTCCTACATGGAATAGGATTAAAAACATTATGCCTAAAAAACCTGTTCATCATATCTTTTCTAAACCCATCTCTGTTCTTTTCCAACACATCGACTTTGGAGTTCCTTCCACAGCCTAGAATCACGGCGATGACATGCCACAACACAACCCAACCGCCGCTATCATCATCTCTTTTCTCAACGGTGGAACATAAACACAACCCAGCCGCCGCCATCATCATCACAACCCAGTCGTCATCAACACAATCCAGCCGTCGCTATCATTATCTCCTTTCTCAACGGTGGAACATACAAGACCACAATACAACACAACCCAGCCGCCTCTCTTCTATGGCCCTTTTGCTTAGGGCAAAGCCACTAGAAAGACTTTTGCCTATAAATTGATATTGATAAAAGGGGAGCTTGCATGTTTGGCTGTTAAATAGTCTGAAGAAGTAAGGTTTGCCTTTTCTTTCTTGGCTTATCGCGTTGCCTAGGAATTTCCTATCCTCCGTTTTCCTCTCTCACTACCCCTTATCTCACCACCACCGTCGGAGACGCCTCCTTCTCAACATGGCGTCTTCTTGCCTTCTTGCCCTAATCTTGCCCCAATTTCATTTCTTACTTTAATTTTTTTGTTAAATTTATTTATTTATTTATTTTTAAGTTAAATTTCTTTATTCATGATAAAAGGGTAATTTGGAGGAATCAATGTAAATTAATTCCATTCTAGCTTTAAATTGGTTCACCCAAACACATGAATAAGAATCATCATTCCATATTTATGGTATTCCGTGTGTAACGACTCACTCCACCACATAGTATGATATTGTCCGCTTTGGGCCTGAGCCCGCATGGTTTTGCTCTTGAGCTTCACCCCAAAAGGCCTCATACCAATTGGAGGTGACACACTTATATATAAGCACTTCACCTTTCCTCTACCCAGGCGATGTGGGACTGTGCACCCATAGCTCGCCAGTGTGGTAGCCTGACAGTGTCTCTCGCACCCTCCCACGGCACACCCGCCCACAAGGTCATCATACCGTGTTTCCAACCAAACACTAGAACTCATTCCCATTCCATTCTCAGCTTCATTCTATTCCCATTCTATTTTATTCTTGCACACCAAACTAGCCCATATTGATTAAATGATGAATTTCTCATTCTCAACTATAAAATACAATATAATAAATAATAATAATATAAGTACATTATTAACATTTCACATTTCAAGTCATTTTATGACAACAAGTGAATGGGTTTGGGGAATTTGTCCAAACCTCACGAAATGTGTGCAATTTGTATACAAGTATAGATATGTACAAAGTGAATTGGGATATGGGCTAGGGAAGACCAGGCCCAAAGCTAATCAAAAGCACTGGGCTGAATATCAAGGCGCACAAAAATAGCATTTAACCAAAAGGACCGTTGGTCTCAACCGCTGTTGCTCGTCAGAGTTGCGACTGATTTTCGAATCCGGTGGACCACAAGTGGTGCTCAGCTTGCTCCTGTGTCGGAGCAGCTGAGAGAGATGTCCGGAGGGCCAACGAAGGAGGATGGAGGTCCCAGTTGTGTCGAACTCTCCTAGCCGAAGCTGAGTTTTTCATTGATGAGGGGTGTAACCTCTCTTTGATTGAGTCTGTGATTCTTGATGGAACCATATTCCTCTGAAGATTCTTCTATTCTTCTCTTTCCGAGTTTGTCGACAGAGTTGCTGTTGTTCTTGGGTTTCCCCAGTGATGCGACATCCAGCCAATAAGGTCTGCCCACATTGTGTTTTCAAAAAGTTCCAAATGGTCCGAACAAAACGGGCAGCTGAAGTTTGCCTGAAGAACAAGTGAGACGGGGCTTCTGCAGAGGAGAGATAGAGGCTGCAGACATTTGGAATATGGAGGTACGTAGGCCATGGCTTTGCTGTCTAATGTTGAAAGTCTGTTCTACAAAAACTGACAAACAAAATTTTGAAATGTTCTTTACTTTTCGAAGTAATCTGAAAAGTTAAAAACGTATTTAAAAATTGAATCAAAATCGGTTATAAGATTCAAAGTTCTTGACTTTGCAAATACAAGGGATTTTATTGCATTAAATTTAGTGTTAGTTTCTCCTTTGTCAGCTCAATTTGATTAATCAAATCATCTGATTCGGATATTCTGTTGAGTAGCTGGTCCATTTGTGCTAAACATATTGGGAGTCGAACAAATCACCATAACGCTAATCAGGCAAGTGCGACCGGCCGGTCACACTTAAGTCGGATGGCACTTGTCCTTGTCATAAGCACTGCACTGAGTCCGATTTGTAGCACTAGGTGACAACCCAACCATGAACAAGTGGCCAATTAAAGTGTGATGGGTTGCGGGCTAGAGTCTATATCAAACTCAAGAGATTGGACGTCAACTATCCCTTTTATGGTTGATTTAGGCGATTGTGGAGAAGAGATAATAGGAACAACTTTCAACTAAGTTCTTTCTTCCTTGATGTAAGGACTTGTTAAAGGTAAAAAAAAATTACAATGACAATAAAATAATGTGGGATGTGAATGAATTGAAATGAAAACTGCATAAAGGAAAATGGTTATAAAGAAATTGCTTGGCTTGAAAATAAAAAGGTTCCTTTATTTATAGTCAGTTCAACCTAACCTCTTTTTCTAGTTCTTTGCTGCAGCATCTTCTTTCCTTGATCTTCTCTACTTTTTGAATTCGATTCGAGTCAAATCTTTGGTCAGCCAGGTCCTCTGCAGGTTTCTTCAAATAGCATTCTTTTTCATTAGGACCTCAGTTGCTGAGATTGAGCTACCTTCCTCACACGTTGACTTGCTTCTTTGATTTACTCAAACCCCATTCCTTAAATATACGTGTTACCATTTACTGATGCATGTGGTTCCCTAAGTGGCCAATTTCCATGGCGCCACATCATGGTCACCTGTTGCTATTAAATTCAACCACTTGAAGTCAAAAATGTTTCCTTGGCTCAATGGTCCACATTAAAGAGCCAGCCAATAGTTTTGACTGAATTGAGAATAGTGCCCATTCAACTTAAACGAGCTAGCTTTTAAAGGTTTGGACTTTGTAAAATAGTAAGGAGGAGAATAAGTGCAGATGAAAATGTTTGAAGCATAGTTTTACGTCCAAAATGAACTTTTTTTCAAGACCTAACAGTATGATTACCCTCTTCTCCCTCATGTTTCTTCTTTCCCAGCTTCCATACTCAGCTTCTGGAACACACACGGATAAAAGCCGGTTACTGGTATTCCGGTAGCGAATTCCCTACCACTGATATAATTTCGAGTCTCTTCACTCACCTTATATGTGCCTATGCAGGCCTCAACTCTTCCACATACCAAATCTCCATCTCTGCTTCAGACGACTACTACTTCTCCACCTTCACCGACACCATCAAGCAAAAGAATCCATCAGTCGTAACCCTTTTATCCATTGGTGGTGGACTAGCCAACTCTTCACTCTATTCGTCAATGATCAGCCAATCTTCTTCTAGGCAGTCTTTCATTCAGTCTTCAATAATAACAGCAAGATTCTATGGGTTTCATGGCCTAGACTTTTGTTGGGTTTCGCTGAGTACTGAATCTGACATGGCCAATATGGCCATACTTCTTGATGAGTGGTGAATCGCTATAGAATCTGAGTCAAGAAACTTCATAGGTCGCAACTTATTCTAACAATGGCTGTTCACTACTCACCGTATCTTGGTGATTCGGTTAGTTTTCCAATTGAGGCTATGCGGAGGAACTTGGATTGGGTACATGTTATGGCATATGATTACTATATGCCTACATGGGCAAACAATACAGGGGCACATGCTGCTTTGTATGGTCCAGCAAGTGATCAAGACACTGATTGTGGTATAAATGTGTGGATTAATGATGGATTAGCAGCCAACGAGACGATTTTGGGGTTGCCTTTCTATGGCTACGCATGGACACTAGTGAACCCAAATGACAGTGCAATCGGTGCACCTGAAAAAGGTCCTGCCATAACCGAAGATGGGTCGATGAAATATAAAGACATCAACAGTTACATTCAGAGGAATGGAGCTGTTTCAATGTACAATGCAACTTATATGGTGAATTACTGCACTATCGGATCCACTTGGATCGGTTTTGATGATGTTGAGGCTGTCAAAATTAAGGTTGCTTATGCGGAAGAGGAGAATTTACTGGGTTACGTTCTGTGACAAGTGCCTAATGATGACAATTGGGTGCTCTCTCAAGCTGGTAAGTGTTGTATTATTTATAATATATATTGTGATTCTCTCCACATGTATAATGTGGAAATTGAAAAAGTCAGTTGAGTGGCCTTAATACTGATTTTTCTTGCTAAATGTTTTTAACTTGGAATTACCCAAGCCAGTTAATTAGCAGGACTGTTCTTCATAATTTGAACTTTCTTTCAAACAAAGAAAATGGCTTCTTTAATTGTTTAAATAAGAATTGGTTAGTAAAAGCTGTTTTTGGCTTTTAGAGTCCAAAAGCTGAATATTTTTTTAGTGTTTGGATGATATTAGCAGAAGAGCTTTAAGCTCTAGAAGAGCCTGGTACACCCCACCCCAGCTTTTAGAAAATGCTCTTCCTGATGAGACACGGGAAACCGTTTATAGTTTTAATGAAACTTTTGTAAGTCCCATAATGCCCTTTGTTCTATAAGTAAACAATTCTTTATTCCAAGCGTATCCCAAATCCCCCAATATTTCACGCTTTACATTTTTTAGGGTTTCTGCTCATCACGTTCTCCTCCAATTTCTCTTATTTCTGTAACTTCCCAAGTTTCCTTTTGCCAGCGAAATTCTCAATTCACACACTATGGAGCCACCGATGGCCTCTAACAGGGACAAGAAACCATCTTATATTAGGGACTGTGTTTCTTTTTTGGGGGTGTATTCGTTTTTCCATTTTGGATATGAACAATTGAAGAACACATTATATGGTATTTTACTTACCGATTTGCCCCACAAGCAATACACACACACTTCTATATGGTATTATTAATGCTTAGTTCACTACATATTATTCCTCTCCTTCAACAGTTCAGATTGCGGAGGTACTATTTTGTTGTGGCTGATGTCGATCAACGGTTTAAAGACCTCAAGTGCCAATTCTATATTAATGGGCATTATAAGTACAATGCATTTACCTCCTAATCCCACCTTTCTCTCCCCAAATAGAGGAAAATTTTAAACATCACTGCAAAACCCATAGACGGCTATAGATGGTATATTTTATTAATTGAAAATTTTTAATTGCTAGTGGTCTATTTTGCAACTTTAATATTTGGTGGTATATTTTGGTACATTATAAGTTATTTTCATTATGTATATAATTTTTTTTTATGATATATATATTTTTTTCCAGTTTTGTGATGAATAATGAAATGAAATTGAGGATGACCTGAAACTATAGAAACATAAAAGATAACATGGAGTTCAATCACATCATCTTGAAGTTTCAAGTTCAGCCATGTCAAGTTTAATCAAATTATTCTTTATGTTATCAAATAATTGCAAAAAAACATTCTATCTAAGGGTCAAATAATTATTTCAGTAGTAAAAAAGCTTCAACAAATATTTTTTCAAATAGATAGAAAACCTCTTCTGCCATTAAAAGCTATTTTAAAATACGGTTTCCAAACATCAACACATAAGCCAAATGGGAGTGAAAACTTTTGCTTCTCTTTTACTTTTGTGTAAAAGCAGAAGCAAAGGCTACGCCAAACAGGCCCAAAAACTCCTTTCTAAATCTCAAGGAGAGAGTTTAAGGGTGTGTCAACGAGCAATTTTTAATTGTCTGGCAAGCAATAGAAACTTCTGCTAACTCTGCTTATTTCCATGGAAATTGTTTTTGCATTGAATTTTTCTCAAGAAACAAATGTTAACGAGTTATTTTTAATTGTCTAGTAAGCAATAGATACTTCTGCTAACTCTGCTTATTTCCATGGAAATTGTTTTTGCATTGAATTTTTCTCGAGAAACAAATGTTAATGTGTAGGCATAAAGGGAATATTGAAGCAAATTCAAAAGCCACAATAATGTTTCCATGCTTGGCTATCTATGATACATTCATTGTAACTATTTCCATGAAAAAAAGGTCTTTTATCTTTGTTGTTTTCTACTTGTTTATCTTTAATTTACTTGTTCATCTTTAATTTTTCTTGCTTGAGTAATTTTCTCTTTTCGCCTTATCCCTCAGTTTTATTTCACCTATATTTTTACCAATAATTTTTTTTACCTCCTCTTTATTTAAAAAAAAAAATCTATTTCCATGAAAAAGGGAGGGTTTAACTTACTTTTACTGTTAAAAGTTGTGAACACAAGAAAGTTTTTATCTTTTTTATAAAATGAATAATTTCAATAGGATAAAGAATTTCCATCACTTTTCTGTATTTCTATATATAATTGCTTTGAGCTGTTTCTTTGGCTTACTGAATTTTCATAGAATATGTTGGTTGTCATTACTGGATTTAACTAGCGTTTAAGAACTACCAAACGTCTTTTAGTTCTCCAACAAAAAGATTTAGAGGCTGAACAAAAACTAAACGTAGAAATGCTAAATGATCTTTATATGATACATTTCTTCACAGCTCGAGGTTGGTGAGGATCATACAAACAAGCTACGCTTGTTAATAATATTGCTTACCACTGGAGCATCTGCTATTCTCCTACTAAGTGCCATGATTTGGTATCTGCGGAAGAGAGTGCTTAAATCAAAGGTAACCTCTGCCAACTGTGAAAATTCACCATCTTTTACCATGATTCAAAGAGACTAATACTTAATTATTTGGACCTTTTGTGTTTTATTTTTCTTTTTGTTTCGTTTCCAGGAACGGGGACAGACAAAATCATTCAAAGTCTAAACTAGGAATTAGTATGACGGCTGTTGGAAGTAATAATGCTCCTAATTTGCAAGTATTTAGTCTTGGTGACATTGAAGTAGCAACAAACAAATTTTCATTTGAAAATAAGCTGGGAGAGGTGGATATGGCTCTGTATACAAGGTAAATATTTGATCTCCATATTTATGCAGAAGCCTCGAAAGATGCTCTACATTTTTTTAGATTAATAGTATCCTTAATTAACAATGGTACAAGTTTAAAATGTGTAGTTTGAGGAATAGGCAAAATTGAGTTAAAAAAGGTGTAGTTGATATTTAAGCGTGGAAAAGAAGTGATCTCATAATGGAAAAAGTAATCAGTGTATAGTCTCGGGTATGCTTCGTTGAGTGTTAGTTCTATCAAATTAACACTAGGCATACTAAAATAGCTAAATTTGTAAAATATACAAAATGTGTGATGTTTGTTTTGGCAGGGTACATTACAGAAGTGACTACAATTAGATAGGAAAAATCTCGGACTCCTATATCTCCAAGAATACTCGAGACTCACAGTAATTCATAGAGACCTGAAAGCTAGAAACATTTTATTGAACAGTGAGATGGAGCCTAAGATATCAAATTTTGGTATGGCTACGACTTTCCAAAGAAATGAATTTGAAGCAAACACAAGCCGAATTGTGGGAACATGGTAAGTAAAATCTCTCTCAATAACATCTCAAACGGCACATAACAATTTTAGGTACTTATTATTTTTGTTGTTTCATGCAATGCGGTGGTTATGTAAAACATGGTATATACTCCATTATAGCTTCGGTTTCTGGTTTTGCAAATCATCAGTTGCAAGCAGAATAACTGTCTACATGGTCTCCAAGAAAATTTAAACCTTTCAGATCATGTAAGTTACTCTGGAGACCTTAAAATGGGTAATGAATGCACTTCAAAATTTCTCTCCCCAAATCATATAGATTCACAATATTGTATTGTTTCAGACATATGAGCTCTGAAAGAAGGCAATGGGATGGAGTTTATGGATCCGTCACTGCACGATACACATTCTTCGTGTAAATTGATGAGATGCATGCATATAGGTATGTTATGCGTCCAGGAACATCCGACAGACCCACGTTGGAAGTTTCATACATGCTAAAAAATGAAACTCCGAAATGGCCTGCTTTTTCTATAAAAAATGATATATGGAAAATGAATCTGCATTGCTGCAAGAAACTTGGTCAATTAATCAGACTAACAATTACCCAAATGGTAGCGCGGTCAATTAATCAGACAACAATTACTTAAATGGTAGCGCCATAAACGTCATTCCTCTTTTTTGTACTGTCGTATATAGTTCATAAAAGATATTAATCAAATTTTTGCTTTAGTTTTCCTAACAAAACACTGTTAATAAAAGGGGATTAAAAACATTTATCGTCACAAGAAGTCACAAGAAGTAAAAGCCCAGTTCTTACTTCATATGAAGGGGGTTACCTTACTTCCATTACCAAACTAAAGAAATTCCATCGATGCATACAAAGGGTAAGAGACCCTTTTTACAAAGCCTTACAAATTAAAATGTATACTATATATATATATATATACATGTATATAAGCAAAAATGGTGCGGCTCAGATCTGCTTTTGATCAGGGCAAGAGTATATCCCACCGCCATGGCTGCAACAACAGTTGCCTGTGAGAGAAGAACCAAATCTCTCTCCCACAGACCCTCTGGTTTGCCCTGCCAACAAACGGATCCGATTCTCAATGCCAGTATGATCCACTCAGAACATATATCATCACAGCCTCTTATAATGATGATTGATGATGATGGAAGAAGAAGGATATATATATATACATACAAACATACATACATACACAAAGGGCTGTTGATTCTGTAGGAAATGAAATCATTGGATCTAGATGAACTTCCTTTTTTTGTAGGAGATCATCGTTTACAGAGAGGGGCAACCACCCTTGGAAACATCCCATCCCTCTGAACGAGCCTCATTCTTCTTTTTCCGAGTGCAAACCCTACCCTTACTCAAAATCAAGATTACACTTGATTTTATGATTTAGTTTGCAAAACAAGAATTACAGAGCTTGATTAGTTGATTTAGGAAAAAAAAATTAAAACAAAACCCATACATACAAGTTAGCAGTTGCAGAGAGAGAGAGAGAGTGAGAGGGGGGGCAAGTTTGAGAGTTGAGAGCCAGCGGCTTAAGCTTGTGAACGGCGAACCCGAACTGGAACAGCGGGCGATGGGAACCGAAAGATATGGGTTTTGATTTTTTGAACAATCTGAAATGATATGCCGATATGGGTTTTGATATAGGTAATAGATCAGATCAGACGAGA